CGGCCGGAGCGAAGGCTTGGGTCCCAGATGCCGGTAGAAAACCGGTGCCGGCAGCCAAGGGAAGGAAGGCCTATTGCACGAATCTCTTCATGCAACGGGCCTCTAGTAACATTATATTATAAATTTAAGGTGTACGATTCTAGAACACATCACCTGTCTACTGTATTGCGTGTTCACCACCTCAAGTCAAGTCTCTCTCCACCACCATTTACCCCCTTTTGCCCTCTCCTGCCTCCACACCCCCGCCCCCATTTCTCACTGGTAATCACCATACTGTTGTCTGTCTATGAGGTTTTTTCTTTTGTGCTTAATCCCTTCACCTTTTTCACCCAGCCCCCCAGCCCCTCCCCTCTGACAGCTGTGAGTCTGTTTCTATTTTGTTTGTTAGTTTACTTTGTTCATTAGATTCCCCATGTAAATGAAATCATATGGCGTTTGTCTTTCTCTAACTGGCTTATTTCACTTAGCATAATACTCTTCAGGTCCATCCATGCTGTCGTAAAAAGTGAGATTTAATTCTTTTGTGTGGCTGAATAGTATTCCATGGTGTACCTGTCCCACAGCTTTTTTAACCACTCATCTACTGATGGGCACTTGGCTGCTTCCAAATCTTGGCTATTGTAAATAACGCTGCAATAAACACAGGAGTGCATATATTCTTTCGAATTAGTGTTTCTGGTTCCTTTGGATACATTTCCAGAAGTGGAATCACTGGGTCATAAGGCAGCTCCATTTTTATTTCTTAAATATATTTTTATTGATTTCAGAGAGGAAGGGAGAGGGAGAGGGAGAGGGAGATAGAAACATCAATGATGAGAATCATTGGTCAGCTGCCTCTTGCATGCCCCCCACTGGGGACCAAATCCACAACCCAGGCATGTGCCCTTGACTGGAATCAAACCTGGGACTCTTCACGCCGGCACTCTGTCCACTGAGCCATACCAGCTAGGGCCATGGTCGGCAAACTGCGGCTCGAGAGCCACATGCGGCTCTTTGGCCCCTTGAGTGTGGCTCTTCCTAAGCCTTAGGAGTACCCTAATTAAGTTAACAATGGACCTACTTATATAGTTTAAGGTTAAAAAATGTGGCTCTCAAAAGAAATGTCAATCGTTGTCCTGTTGATACTTGGCTCTGTTGACTGATGAGTTTGCCGACCACTGAGCTAGGGCAAGGCAGCTCCATGTTTAGTTTTTGAGGACACTCCACGCGGCTGTGCCAGTTGGCATTCCCACCCACAGCGCACGGGGTTCCCTTCCCCCACGTCCTCGTAGCCCCAGAAACGAGGTAGCACCTGCCCCACGTCTTTTTAGCTCTGTGCTCTGAAGAGGTCATCAGGCCTTTGTCCATGTGTCTGTAAGATGGCCAGATGTTTCTTAGAATTTGAGTGAGCGAGTAGCATGTACAGGTTTTGAGTGAACTCAGCCCAGCTGAGGGATTTAAGAGTCAAGGCAGGTTAGCGGTCCAGCCATTTCCTTGTTCAAGGCCCTCTTACGGTCTTCACTCCGCCCCCTCTCTCCCTGAGTAGAGCTTATGTGGGGTGAGGGCGGGGCTTACAGGCTCCCCTGCACCCTCTCTCCCCTGCCCTCCCCTCCCCAAGATGTCTTCTGCTCCTGGTCGCGTCTGCTAGCCTCCGCTGTCCCCCGCTCCTGTGGTCCTCCTGGGTGTGTTCTGGATGAAAAGGGCATAAGGGATGAGGAGGGCCCCCAGTGCTGCCTGGTCAGTCTGAATGGTGTCTCGACTCTAGTACTAGTGGTCCACTGAGACTGCAGGCTCATCCTCCCCACAGTCCTGAGAGGTTTGTTCACAGGCGTCTTTTTGCTCTTGCCTCCGCAGGCAGGCCTTGAAACCTTGAGCAGAATGAGCCATGTCTGAACTGAGCTCTGTGCCTCTCCTGGGACCCACGGGGTCTTGTTGATGCTCAGAGCATAGGCCCCTGTGTCTGCCCCTGTGTCCGGGCAGCGTGCAGGCGCTCTCTGTGCAGGCACCTCTCCTGGGGCGGTCAGCGCGGTGCTAGGTACTGGGCTGTCAGCTCCTGACCAGTAGGGTTTCTGCTGCTCCCAAATCCCCTTCACCTGGATGGGCAGGGGAACGGATGTGGGCAGGAGCCCATGTCCCTCAAGGTCCAAGCCTCCGGCACCCACGCCCGCCTCCTGGGCCCAGCCTTGGAGGGCTGCCCACTGCGGGGAGGGTGGGCCGCTGGGCCGGAAGGGAAATGAGCATGCAGATGGCTCCCTTTCAGATCTTGTCGCCCAGCTGCTCTGAAAGTGGACTGGAGAGCGTCTTCATTGTCTGGCTCCTACCAGACGGAGCACCCAGAGCCCAGATTTGGAGTGGCCCAGGGGGCGCGGGGGAGGAGACAGCAAACACACATGTC